TTTTAGCATTGATAGAAAGATTGCTTATAAATTTGTAAACTTTAGTAAGTTTGCAAAAGTATGGAATTAATGAAGACATTCGTACAGAATCATAGCTATGTTATAACATTACATTTTAAGCAAAGTCAGAGCAGATTCAAGCTCTTTTGGATGCAAACTTATCAATTATATCTTTAAACTCAATAAGTAACTGTTTATCATTTTCTGTGCAGAGAATACTTAGATCAGACAACCAATCTTGGGACATTATAGACCGTAGATCATTCTTTATCCTTTTTAGTCTAGAAAATGATCTGTCGCCAGTACAGTTTGTAATCGTTAAACATAGGAACCATCTGAAAATTGTTTCCACATTTGGGAAAAGCTGTCTGAAGTTTCTCTTGGAATATTATTTGATACATATCTTGGTGGCTGAATTTTTCTTTCTCAGGGTGACCTTATTTGACTACAGGTAGAAGGGCAAGAGTTAATCAATTAGACTAAGGTCAACATCCTTTGGATACTCTTGCATCAACATCTTGATGCCATTGTGAATCTGTTCATTAGTAGCTTGCAGGTTGACCAAAAATGAAAAATTGCCAGCTACACTCCTATACACTGTTTCTGCTCTGTCTAGGTTGGCTTCAAGAACATCCAGGGCAGGGATAAATTAATTTATCCTAAATTTGTCTCTTGGAGAAAGTTTATCTAAGGCTTCGGGTGCTGTCCCATCATTTTGTTTTTGTTTTTACTTTCTGCTGCTTTTTGATAGATTTGTGCTCTACATCCAGTAAAGTGCATTTTTCTTGTTCAATTTCATCAAAACTAGCCTGAGCATTTGATACGAACTGCAATAGTGAGCTGTAAATATTTGCACATGTGCTCAGTGAAATTTGTATACTGTGGATTGCCTTGCTAACTGTAGCAAATGTTTCCAAAGGTGAAGCATGAAAATGAATTCAGATTCTTCCATTTTTTGCAGAGGTTTGTCAGTTTGGCATCTAGAGTATCCTTTTTCAGTTTCATCATAGTAAATATAACTGAGGGCTTCAACAATGTAAGCACAAGTCTACTGTGGTTTATCTAACTAGATTTAGGGAATGTCCAGTACAGTGGTACCTCAGGTTACATAGGCTTCAGGTTACAGACGCTTCAGGTTACAGACTCCGCTAACCCAGAAATAGTACCTCAGGTTAAGAACTTTGCTTCAGGATGAGAACAGAAATCGCACAGCAGCAGCGTGGCGGCAGTGGGAGGCCCCATTAGCTAAAGTGGTGCTTCAGGTTAAGAACAGTTTCAGGTCCTCTGGAATGAATTAAGTTCTTAACCCAAGGTACCACTGTACATGGAATGAACTTTGCATACTTGTTCCTTTCCACAATTTTTTGTTCAACACTGTTATACTTTCCAGCCGTATGAGTGTCCTCTGCATTTACTTAAATTCATTTCAAGTTCATTGAACTCGTTCAGTATCAGCTCAGCCATGCTTTCACCAGTGTGATCTTTCAGTTCAAAAAACTCAGGAACCATTTAACTGGTAATTCATCACTAGGAGTAACGTATCTAACAATTACAGAAAGTTGATCAACATGGGAAACATCAAGGATTGTAATTGACTGATAAACTAAAATAACCTGCCTGCTTGATGTTGCTCAGTATTGCTTCTCGATGTTGCTCAGTATTGCTTCTCGAACTGTATTAGCCATCAGCTGGATAACCTCTTCACATATGGTTTTGGATAAGTTCAATGGCTGATCAAGAGTCTTTACTCATATACTGCTTTATGTGTGTACATAGGAAGGGATCTGATTTGGCAATTAATTCAAGCAATCCAAGAAAGTTACCATTGTTTGGTAAACCAAATGTTTCATCATGTCCCCTAAATGCCAAGCCACATTGTACCAAAAGGGAAATCACTGCAATAACTCACTGAAGTACAATCCCCCAGTAATCCTTCTCTGCTTTGATTTTGCCTCTGGGTTTTGAACTGAGCATTTGATCACGCTTTCTTGTTAAGTATGTTGGCATAAAGTTCATATGATTTTTAGCGTTTCCATGGGTTTTAACAAGATAAGCATGAATGCCAATTATTGAATCCAGTAGAAGCTAAAGCTGTAATTGAAGTAGTTGCTGAACATGCCTGAAGGATGCGGACCATTTGGATCCCTTCCAGTCGGGATTCTGGCCTCATCATGGGACTGAAACTGCCTTGGTAGTGCTGGTCGATGATTTCTGGCAGGCTAGGGACAAATTTGAAAGCTGTTTCTTAGTTCTTCTGGATCTTTCAGTGGACTTTGATACCATCAATCATGACATCCTTCTGGACCGTCTAGAGCAGGCTTCCTCAAACTCGGCCCTCCAGATGTTTTGAGACTACAATTTCCATCATCCCTGACCACTGGTCCTGCTAGCTAGGGATCATGGGAGTTGCAAACCAAAAACATCTGGAGGGCTGAGTTTGAGGAAGCCTGGTCTAGAGGAGCTGGGGTCACTGTTATACAGTGGTTCCGCTCCTTTCTCCTGGGCCGTTTCCAGAAAGTGGTGTTGGTGGATGAGTGTTCAGACCCCTGGGATCTCACTTGTGGGGTGCCTCTGAGTTCCGTCCTCTCCCCCATGCTTTTTAATATCTATATGAAGCCGCTGGGAGAGATCATCAGGGGAGTTTGGCTGGGTGTTCATCAGTATGCAGATGACACCCAGCTCCACCTCTCTTTTAAATCAGAACCAGTGAAGGTGGTAAAGGTCCTGTGTGAGTGCCTGGAGGTGGTTGGAGGATGGATGGCAGTTAACAGATTGAGGTTGAATCCTGACAAGACAGAAGCACTATTTGGGGGGGACGGGGCGGGTGTGGGTGACTCCCTGGTCCTGAATGGGTCAACTGGACCCCTGAAGGAGCAGGTGCGCAGCCTGGGAGTCATTTTGGACTCACATCTGTCCATGGAGGCACAGGTCCAGGGCAGCTGTCTACCAGCTCCATCTGGTATGCAGGCTGAGATCCTACCTGCCAGCAGACTGTCTCACCAGAGCAGTGCATGCTCTGGTTATCTCCCACTTGGACTACTGTACCACGCTCTACATGGGGCTTACCTTTGAAGGTGACCCCAAAACGTCTTCTAATCCAGAATGTGGCAGCTAGACTGGTGACTGGGAGCGGCTGCTGAGACCATATAACACTGGTCCTGAAAGACCTACATTGGCTCCCAGTACGTTTCCGAGCACAATTCAAAGTGTTGGTGCTGACCTTTAAAGCCCTAAACGGCCTTGGTCACTTTCTCCAGAAATTTCTGTACTTGCTGTGGTAGTAACTGACAATAGTTCTCCTTGAAGTTCGGGGGGGGGGGCTGCATTCTGTATATAAGCTGGTTGTTTTTCAGCTTCCTCAGACTGCTCAGTGTAGTCTAACTGATTTTCGTCTGTTTGCAAACATGAATATTCTGTATCTGAGGGCTGTTTCTGCCTGCTGTACGAAGCCATTTGATGTGTTTGACTTCAAATGATTATTTCCTTCTGTTCTTTTTGTCACCTTTGTTTACTAGCACCACTTTCATATTGCTTACTCATTATTATTTTCACAAAAAGACAAAATTAAATATTGTGATTCACAGTGATGTAAAAGAATCCTCACTTGTTCTCAAACACCTGCTGTAATGGTAGGCAGTGATCTGAACACTTGTATTGCTTCATAGCTGACTTTATCATTTGACTCTAGGTAGCTTTAAAGTCTCCATGAACTTTACTAAACAGTAAATATGTATTTGTGTAATTGTTATACAGCCATAGACTCATACATCATGTGTTTAATGGCACTAAGCAATTGGGCCCAGACAGTAAAATCTGCCTGCCTGTTTGTTTGTTTTTAGAATAGCAAGAGGCTGCAGGCTGCTCAGCCTGAATGTAAATCCAGCATTGCAGAGCCAGTGTGTTGTAGTGGTTAAGAGCGGTAGACTCGTAATCTGGGGAACTGGGTTCGCGTCTCCGCTCCTCCACATGCAGCTGCTGGGTGACCTTGGGCTAGTCACACTCCTCTGAAGTCTCTCAGCCTCACTCACCTCACAGAGTGTTTGTTGTGGGGGAGGAAGGGAAAGGAGATTGTGAGCCGCTTTGAGACTCCTTCGGGTAGTGATAAAGCGGGATATCAAGTCCAAACTCTTCTTCTTCTTCTTCTAATGATCAATGGGAGTCCAAAACATCTAGCAGCACCAAGCTGAGGAAGGCTAAGATAGGGTGACTTGCGTGACGTAACACAGAAAACATAAATCAGCTTGATGTGCAAAACCGAATCAAGCCAGTAGAGATCTTGATTATTTCTGCCAACTCCTGCTTTGCAGGCATGAAAATGAGTAGTAGCCTCTTCAACTTTAGTACTTTAGTCTGAGGTACTCACAGTTTGCCACTTGGAAAGTGTAAAAAGTCTGTTATGAACAGAGTAGGTATTTTTTTAATAAAAAAGTAGCTCAAGCTGAATGTCTTATGCTGATTTTCTGTGGAATGGCATAAATTAATGTAAGAAAGCAATAACCTTATTCTTAGTGGATGATTGCTAGGACAGAGCAGAGAACCAGATGCTGGTATCCTAATAAATAAACTATCCTACAAGCGTAAGACATGAAAAGAGTGACTGTGATCCAGTCACAGTCCAAATTTAAGCACACCTTCCACTGATGTCAATGGGGACATTAGGCTTGTGCTTAACAATTCAATCCTAAATGTAACTATTCAGAATTAAGTTCCACTGCACTCAGTGGTAATATTCTCAGGTAAGTGGGCATAGTGTTGCAACCTAGTCTCATGCATTTCAGTAAGAAGGTGTTTAACTGCAGATGGACTGTCATGCACAGTGTTTCCAGGTCAGAGGGATGGAGACTGATAAAATAGTTTAAAGAGAAGAAGGGAAATGGCCTATAGATCACCAAAGATGTGAGGGCATAATAATATCGTAACTCTCCTTTCAATGACACTAGATTCAGGTAGGTAGCCGTGTTGGTCTGACACAGTCAAAATATATTAAAAAATAAAAAAATTGTCCAGTAGCACCTTAGAGACCAACTAAGTTTGTTCTTGGTATAAGCTTTCATGTGCATGCATAAGAACAAACTTAGTTGGTCTCTAAGGTTCTACTGGACGATCTTTCAATGACAGTTAGACATTTACAGAAACTTTTTCAGACTTTGTATCTTGTTGCTCTGTTGATGGAAGTCAAGCTGAAGAAAATAAAGATTAAGAAATATTTAACTCCAAAACCGAAGAAGTAATATAAAGGAAAAGGGAGAAAATGGAGCCTTTTTATTTTGTTAAAGCTTTCTCTTATATGCCGCAAAATTGTACCAGGACTGCACCATATGAAACACATTATAAATGCTCTTATAAAATCTACATCATTCTACCACATGAAAGGACCGCTCCTAAAAATAGCCATTCAGAGAGTATGCAAGTTAGTTGTAATTTCAGTGATCATGAAATCTCTGTGTAGCCATTCACCAACCAAGAATTTTGCATGTTGAATATGCCTAGCAACAGCAGCCTTGCGAATTCTCCCTCCCCCATCATCCATCCCATAAAGACCCTGAGACACACTCCAGCATCCTTCCTCACTGCTGATTTTTATTTCCTGTACCTAACTGCATTGAATAGGGAAATGCCGATGCTGTTTGAAAACTTTGCCAACAGCATCACTGCCAACCACTTAAAAAGTACCATCATGTGTTCCTTTCCGTTGCATACTTGTTTTTCTTCATTCCTCAAATCAAAAGATTTTCTTCTTAACGTTTTCTCCTTGAGCAGTTAATTAAATATTTCAGCTTTTACATGGTGGTGAAAAATCTTTTTTGCATTCTTGCCCTTTAGAAGTGGCACCCAACTAATTTTCAGGAAGTGAAGGCCATACATAGAGTAGAGGCAAAAGGCCGTTTTATCATGTGGAGGCTACTAGCAAATTCACTCTGGGCTTCATGCAGCCATGTAGAAGCCAGTAATTTAACATCTGGAGATGTGGTGAACTTTACCACATTCCCATTACTCCCCGTTTCTGATTGGCTTCCCCTTTCGCATGGTAACATTTGCCTTGCCATGTGGTTGGCTTCCACAGATGTCTCGCTCTCCACCTACAATTACATAAATTCAGTGATCTTTAAATATTCTCCCAGCTACACTTATCTATCACTAGATCCCATTCAGCCAAGGGCTTCCTCTAAACGATCCAACCACTTGAGTGGGGCCAAGGCAGCTCTGGAGTCAGGAGAGGGCTCCTTGTTGCAATGTGGGCATTGGTGGCCACCCTACAAATCACTTATGCTGGCCTTGATAACGTTTTCAAAATAAACTTTTTATGAACTCTCAGAACACCGCAGGCATGCTGGATGAGGCACGTCCATGTATCACTTGGGATGTCAGAGACATTATCCCATAGCTGACTGTGGCACTCATGCAGCCACACCCCGCATAGCACTTAATAGATCAACTGATGCTGCCAAAATGTAACTTCCCTGCAACAGTAGTACTTGTTTGAAGGAAGATGTCTGGTTTCCCCACAAATAATTGATGTCACAACTGTGAACATCATTAACTCAGGGCCAGCCCGCCAGTTAGGCGAGATGTGGCAATTGCCTCAGGGCAGCAGGCTCTGGACAGCTGGGAGGACCGGCAGTTCTGGCCTCCAGCAAGCTTTTTGCTGCCACCGCTGCACCATCTGCCACCTGCCTGCCTGCCCGCCCCTGTGCACCAGTTGATGTGTACCTACTACACGCCTGTCTCCTCCTCTGCTGTGTGCCTTCTGCCCCATGCCTGCCACTGCCCTCTCCTCTTCTGTCTCCTTTTACCTCCCAGGTGGATGTGCAGTGGCAGAGGAAGAGATGGAGGGATGGTGCTTTATATTTTGCCTCTAGTGGCAAAATGTCCTGGGTCATTGCTGTGTAAACTGATCACTTGGGAAAGGCATAACAGCCTGTCGGCTGCACACAACCATGGTACTTGATAGATGTCCTCTCGCCTTTGAATAAATTGCAAGTTCTGATTTAAGATAGAGAAATAGTGGGATCCCAGAAGGAAAACACAAAAGTAGAATGAAACATCCATTTGCTTAAGTGAAAATACTTTTTAAAATGAATTTGCGTTTGGGATGATGGCACCTGAAAGGAAACTTGGCGGATACCTAATGAAATAATAGGATTCCCAGAGAAAGCTACATTGTATTTTAATAGCAGGCATAAATATCATTAACTCCAGTGTTTCGTTTCAATTCAGATGGAACTGCGGTGCAGAAGGTATTGGGGAAATGTAGCATTAAGTGATTTCCTGTTGCTGTTTTTATCCCCTTTCCAAGTTAGTTTTTTCATTTAAATCTTTGTGGCATGTTAAGCTCCGGGGCTCTCTTCAAACGGTTCCATTGTACTAATATTTCAATCAAGCTGCTGAATTCGATTGCCATAAAATGACATCATAGAAATGTGCTCACTGTTGCTTTTTCTTAAGCTCCTTAAGAGACTAGTGGAAAATCAAAGCATAAAACATAATATACATTTAATATATGTCGAGATCATTTATGTTTTAAATACAGCCAGCAGAGTTTCAAATGTAGATCCTTACCTGAGATTTGTAATTACTGATGTGACTGAATCTACAGACACATTCAGATATGAGAGTACCTGGGGTGTCTAACCCACGGACCTCCCAATCTTGTTGGACTACAATTCCCATCAGCTTTGGTGATTAATAAAGTTGTAGTCAGGATCATCTGAAGAGCAACAGGTTAGCCAACAGAAGTAGGTGCAAAGGAATTCTGTGGACGTTTCTTCTTTTGCTGTGCTTTTGGTCCCCTCTGTTTAGAGTGGCTAAGTGAAAAAGAGGCCAGGGCTTCTGTACTTTGAGTAGTTGTGTACAAGCTATACCTGCTGAAATCCCCTCTTCTATACAACTATTCAAGGTGCAGGAGTCTTGTGTCCCCCTCCCCCGTGTTTTGCACTGAAGCTGTTGCCAGGCTTTCAGTGCACAGAGGGCCAGCCCAATACATGTTGGCACCTGAGGTGAACCACAAAATGGTCCCCCTCCCCACCAGGGAGGAAGTAGTGAATGAAGATCTACATCAGGAAAAATAGGAATAAAGATCTGTAGCCCCTGTGGATCCTGCCACACAAAGCGGTTGCCTCACCTTGCCTCATGAGTGGACTGGCCCTGAGTACAATGCTGTTGTATTGTACAGTGCTGAGTGGCCCTGATCCTGCCTCACCTTGTTCTCTACAAGTCTTGCTATTACTGGAGAAAGGAGTGTTTTTACCATCCCAATAGGTAGGCAAATCTCCACCTGTCCCATCAGTAGAGGTGAGGCAGCTACCTCAGGGAGTTGTTTTGGGGTGTAATGAAAGGGCAGCTGATGGTTATTTTCACACTTTTGCTCTCAGTGTAAAGGACGAGAGGTGTTTCTGGACTTTTTTGCCCGCTTGTTTGGCTTTGGAATACTACACTTTGACATGCAGGGAGTAAGATGGGGAAAGAGAATGACAACATTTGCTAAGGCAGCAAAATGTTTTGGGTTGGTCCTATGTCCAGTTCCACTTAGAGGCAGTAAAATTCCCGAAGATGAAGGAAAGGAAGACAAAAAAACAAACTCCAGTCCACATTCTACCGACTTCTGTCTCCTGTTATAATCAAGTCCAAAGGCAAAGCAGAGAGGCTCCTTGTCTTCATATTAAGTGATGAATGCTCAGGGGTGGTGAACTTTTACCACCTTAAATTTTTAAAATATTTTTATTGAAAGTTAGGAGAGATAAACAACACTGGTAAATCACAAAGTAATATTACAGCACACTTTTAATGCCTTTAGACGTGCTTTATTTTGGGGGGGGGTGCTTTTAAATGAGATGACAAGTCACCTAGCCTTGGCTTCGGGTTGTGCGATTTCGGGTTGTGCACCACACCGAACCCGGAAGTACCGGAACGGGTTACTTCCGGGTTTCGGCGCTTGCGCATGCGTGCGCAAATGCACCGCTGCAGGTTGCGAACGCTGCAGGTTGCGAACATGCTTCCCGCACAGATCACGTTCACAACCTGAGCATCCACTGTATATGTGCATCAAAAAAAAAAGTTTAAGAGGTAAAAGCACTTTTTAAAACAAAAATGTGAATGTTATTATTAAATGTGCTAAGCTCAATTAGTGATGCCATCACTATAATTAAGAGGTTCTGCACTTTTAAACAGTTGCAGGACTCGCAGAAATTCAGTTTGCAGAGCCAGGAAAATCAGCACCTAAGGCATTCCTGCCTGTCACTCAGTGCTAAGAGGGAAAGTGGCTCTGCCAAGTTGGGGGCCGGGCGGGGTAAGGACAGGCTCTCAATTTGCTGAAAGCCAATTCTAGTTGAAATGGAAACATTTTCAAAGGAAGACTCTGCCATCTCCCTCTCTCACCAGATTCTGCCTTTAATATGTCACAATATTTGATTCCCTCCAACTCCTAACTAAGAACAGTACAAATATGGGAGCTGGATTTGAAGACTGCTGACACACAGTGCCAGAAAAAATGGTACAATATAAGTAAAGCATTATTGTGAGTAATAGTATTATTCCCATGGCAAACTTTCCTTTTCTTGTTTCTCAGCCCGTAACTTGCTGGTGAGGGAAGACACTAGGAAGACACACATGTTGTTTAATTCCAATCCCTTGTTGTACAGAAGAGAGGTGTTTATCTTGGAACCTTTTATTTCAAGTTAAAACAGTAATCCCTGCCTGGGAAACGGTTTGCTAACAATAGCTAGCAGGCAGTCTGTCAACTCCTAGCTTGATGGGGAGAGGAAGAGAGCGAGTCAGAAGCAAAGGGAAATTCTTTCAAGGGCCTGTTCCCAAGTGCGCGTGGCACTGAAAGGTTTGTATGCTGGGAATGTTAACAGCTCCTTATCCTTGCAATGCTGGATTCTGAAGACATGAAGAAACCGGGAACTATTTGGCTGCGATAGGGTTCCTTATTAGCACACCCATTTGAAAACATCAACGCTGTCAGTCATGCATGTGTGTTTGGCTTTGAAATCCTCGTTCTGTACACAGGGGCCTGGGCATGCCAAGCTCCCAAGCGCCACATGTTAGTTCTCCCAATCTGTGCATGACTTGACAGCTCTCCTGTCCTCACGCTGTGCTGATTC